AGCATTCAGCTTTTGTCATGCATCTGCCTTAACTCAAGTTCAAGTTTCAAGTTTCAAGCAGGTAGGTAGTTATCGAAATCGATTAATGATTATTTAAATAGTTGGCGATAATTGGTTATTACTTATTTTATAGATTTACAGATTTCAAATGGTTTATGTAATGTAAGTCAGGGCTTCTGTGAGTCTGATAAAGTATTATCGAAATAGTTATCGAAATCGACTGTTTCCTATGGAACTGCATGCAAGTTTGCAGTTGAATGCCGGAAGTTAAAGTTGGAGCTAGGGGGTGGCAGAAAACAAGCAGAGAGAAAGTCAAGCAGAAGCCAAAAGGAAATGGCTGCATCGTAGTATGTGAGTGGGTGAGGGAGCGGTAAGCAGCTGCAATCTCAACTTCGCATGCATGAAAAATGCAGCTCATCTACTTAATGCGCGCGACGTGCCGTGCTGTGTTGTTAACGAGGAGGGGAAAGGGGGCGAGGGGGGGGGAGAGAGGGAGGAAGAGCTGATTCAGGATGAGTTGGGCAACCAGCTTACAAGCAAAATGAATGCTACTCACACCGCCAGCCCCCTTCTCCTGCCCAGCCCCTGTCTGACTAGCTGTTTGTTTGTTTGCTTGTGCGGATGTGATGCTGAGCATGCTCTTTTAGCTGCCTTGGCAAATTGCCGTCTAGCTGCGATAGTGTATATGTATGTGCATGTGTACGTGTATGTGTGTGCATTAACGCTTTATAAATTGTTAATTATAATGAGTCCGAAGCATGGAGTCCACCAAACAGAGCTGCTTAAGACCAACAATGTCGACATGATTTACATTAGAGCTTAGCAAATTTATGCTGATGCGAGTTATAGAAGAAGGTTATGCTATGCTCTATACATGTGTGTATCTATAGCAATATCTATATCTATCTATCTATATATATATATAAATGGTATATATCTATAGATAGGTGCTGGCAGTTTGCCTGCTTGCTCGCTGCTCGCGCTAATCCGACAGACATTTTCATTTTACACATGAACAGCAGACGCACACAACGAGAAACTGTCATTGATAAAAATGAAGCACGCGCACGTGCACACACACACACGCACACTGACACACACAAGCTGCCACGTAGCGTGTCAGACATGGCGTATGTGTAATGTGGGGCCCCTCGCTGCGCCGCACGGCAATGCATAATTAGAATTACAACAATAATAATCATGATTATAATGACAACTTGCCAGGCAAACAGCCCTCAGGCAACAACATTGTCAACATCTGTGTACGTGTGCTGGTGTCTGTCTGCGCGTGTGTGTGCGTGTGTGTGTGCGCAAATTTATATGCAGCTCAAGCAAAATATAGCTCACAACTAAAAATTTCTGTTCATTTATAATGCAAGGCAAAATGCTGCAGAATTTGCACAATATCTTCAAGTGCACAACACCCACACACCCACACACCCACACACACACAGACACATACACCCACACTCACGCTCGCTGCCACGTGCTTAAGAAGATGATGATAGATTTGCTAACAATTGCCAGACTCAGTGAACGGCGCTGCGCATTCAGCTTCATTCGCGCTCGCTCTTATCTCCTATCCTCCTATCTGCTATCTGTGCCAGCGGAACAATAGACGCCAGCCAAATGGCCGAGCCACACTCGGGCTGACACAAGGATGCTCTATACTTCCATTGAGGATGCTAACAGCCAGGCATTAGATGTACCGCAGATTTGCGACATTTACGCACTATTTGTGTGTAATGAATTTAATTAGGCGTGGCTTAAGTTGAATATAATTAAGTCCATAGAATAGTTGACTTAAATGTGCAAATTATTGGATTGGGCATAGAGGAATATAAATCCATTTATACGTAATATAATATTATTAGGCATCTTAATTAGGTGTCTATAATAAGATTATTGACATTGCTGCTGGGCAATTCCTTGAAATAGTATTGATTGTGCCTAATGTAATGTTATACGAGTCAGAGATTACTTGAAGACACCTTTTCATTGCAATAAATAGATATTATGCAAAATGTTATGAAAGTCTGAAAGCAGGTATTATTATATTAATTTAGATTATTATTGTTGTAGCAGAAGCTTTGGCTATATTTGTCATATGATGAATCTGCTTTTCATTTCCTCTCTTTTTTGTATTCTATGTATTTCATTCTCAACAATATTTATAATGATGCTGAGAAACACAGTCAAGTTATTCTACTGAAATTCACAATTAAATTAGAGAGTGCTTCACTTTTCATTTGACGACATTCAGTTGACATCATTAGCAACGCCAGCTAAGGAATTCTGAATGTGTGACAAAGTGTTTGTTGTGAGTATTTACCTAGTCTGAATTATTAATTTAGTCAAACTCAATTTTTAAAAAATATATTTTTAGCTTTTGTATGTCTCTGTTAGCGATATACTAGACATACATAAATCTAAAAAAATAAGAGAATAGAAAAACTAAAGAACTTCTGATACTAGACTAAGTAGGCATTTTAAAAATACTTTGAAAATTTGTGTACAAGTCCTTATTTTATTCGGAAGACATACATATATCGATAGATAATTCATAAATAAGTGAAATGCACTGATGGAAAATATGAAATATACATATATTATGAATATAAATATATTAGCAGACATTCTAATAAAATATGAATGTTGCAAAATATGAGTAGATAAGCTAATATTTGTATACAATAATATCGATATATATCAATTCGATTGATATGATAGCGATAGACTGAAACTATTGGTAATATTTGTAGACGAGCTGATATTAATCAATATAATAAATCAATAATTTATTTTCCACTTGTAGGTCTGTATTATTTATTAATCTATTATTTGTATACACACAAAGAGCTTACGAAAATCCAAATACCTCTAAGCGACTTTCGGGTAGAGTATTAAAAAATTACTTCAACATATTACCTGACAATGTTGTTGCCGTTTAGCTATATCCCCCCCCCCCCCCCCCCCCCTCTCTCTCTCTCTCTCTCTCTGCTTTTGGCTACTTTGTGATAAATTTGTAGCCATTTAATGGCTGCAGCAACTCCCACGCGATCAGCTGACAGTCGTCGCAGTCGCTAGATAATTTTTCAGGCACAGCCAGCGGCGTCTTTTCGTGCCCTCCAATTGTGGGGCTATAAGTGCTGCAGATCACAATTTGTGTGTGTTTTTTTTTTGTCTCACAAAGAAAAGGACATCAATCAAAAGGCCTGAGGTGGCGGGATTTAACTTTTATAATTTTTATTAATGGCCAAGTATGCGCTTCGATATAAAAAGAAATGCTGTTGAATGCTTATAATTAATTAAGACATATTTATGGCAGAAGACATTGGACAAATTTTGTTGTTGTTGTTGTAGTTAGATATTGCTATTGTTGTTGTTGTTGTTGTTGCTGCTGCTGCTGTTGTAGTTGGCACATTTTGTGGGCTCCTTGAGCTGTTTAGCTGGCTGTCAAGCTGGACCGCCTAATTGGGATTCAGCTTGAGTTCAGCGTTGGCCGCATTGAGGCGCGATTTGGTTGGCAAATTGCGCTCCTTCTTCTCCACGAAGATCTGATAGTGGCCCTCGCCATAGCCAAAGCTGTGCATGGTCTTCCTCATGGCATCCGGTATGAGCTTGAATCCGCCGCGTCTCTCCATCACTGGCGAGTCCTGGCAGTCCGTTTGGCCGGGCTCGCAGCGGCAGTCGGGCTGCTGGCACGCCTTGTTCTCGATGATGCAGAACAACTGCAGGCACTTGCGCATGATATAAATCATGAGGAATATTATCAAATTGGTGGCAAATAGATGCTTGCGCGGCGCCAGAAACAACATCCTGACTGGTTAGACACTGGGCACTGACTATCACAGCACGTGTGCGGTAATTCTCTCGGTGGCGTTTGCTTTCGGTGCGAGACGGCTGTCCGACGGAGGGCTAAACATGGACTGAGTGAAGGATGCAGTCCTCGCTTGGGCTTATATAGGAGCCATGCTCTTACCTACTTAGGTAATTTTCTTAGGGTGGTCAGGCAGGCGCATGCAGTCGCCGGGTACAGTCGACCGGCGTTAGTCCTTCAGATTAGGTCGGTTTGCCTGTGGGACAGCCGGACAGCCAGACAGCTAGACAGCTAACGTCTGCGCTGATGTGTTTATGAGTTTGTGGAAAATATTAACTCAGAAATTGGTTTATCGCACACAGGCAACGGCGCTTCTAGCGAAGTCTCAGCTACAGTTGGCAAACACAAAGCGGCGCACTCACACACACACTTACACGCAGACAGCTGACGGAAAAGTGAATTTCCCGTACGTCTTGATTCCTAAAAAAAACGAGAAGAAAATACTTGCATAAATTCACAAATTGAATATAAATAAATTTCCTGCAAGGAGGCGAGCGAAGGAAATCAATATCTATGCTGTGCATATGGCACGTGCCACGCCCACTGCATGATAGAGCGCCCAATCTGCAGTCAATTCAATTTGACTTTCAAATGCCATGAATATGGCAAGTGAACCAAAATATATATATATATAGAGGGAGAGAGAGAGAGAAAAAGTCGGTTGGCCATTTAGCAGCTGGCGCTTGGGCTCTTGGCTAATCAATGTGGCCAGCGCTCATTAGGACGTCAAAAAGTTGGCCACTCTTTTTGCACCTGTTCGCAAAATGTTAGTTATATATAGTCTCACCTTGCCCTCTCTCACTCGCACCCTCGCCCTGCTGCCGCTCTATCTCTCTCTCTCTCTCTATCTGCGCAAAGTTGGAAAAACTTTAAGGCGAAGCTTCGTTCGTTGCTTTTCATTTATTTGTATTTGCTTGTTTTCAATTGATTATTTTTTTATTTAATCTATGCTTTATTTGATTTTATTTTTTATTTTATTTGCAGCTTGGCCCAAACAATTCGGCTTCATTTATTGACTTAATCATTTGATTGCGTTTTTCTGCATGCGCTGATTGAATTCCTGCGCCAGTTCGTGTTCAGCCCGGGCGAGTCGAGCTAATTAGTTTAATTGATAGTTTTGGCCTGGCTGGCAGCATTCCACACTCTTTTCTTTTGGCTTAGACGGATGGGAAACTTTTGTGTGGCTAAAACGAGTGTGTGCCGAATTAGAGCCAGCTTAAAGAGCAGCTGGCTTTGCTTTAAGTTCAATGTCTGCAGGGAATCCTGCTAAGCGGATATTGCATCAGTAGCTGAGTGAAGGAATTTCTTTTTAAATTGAAGCAGCGCGCTTTATAGCCGCACATAAAGCAAATATTTCAATCTACGTTTCGCCACATTTTATTATGATTTTACGATTTTTGTTTTGATGCTCGTTAAACTCTTTCAAAAGTGTTTCATATTGGTTTTGCTACAGGTTTACAATTGAATACTTGTGAGAGGGGGAGAGGGTGAGCGAGAGAGACAGAGAGTGTGTGAGATAGAGAGACTTGTTGTGGGCAATATTTATGTGCCGCATGTGTTGGCATTTAAGATGAGTTTTTGATGAAAGTAAATATACATATGTGCATATATATATATGTATATACGATATATTGGTTTGAATGGCGGCATATAAATCGTGGCACGGCACACGGCGCACGTGCTGAGCAGTGGGTCTTGAGGAGCCCTCACGTCCTTGCACTTTTTGGCAGCTTTCATAAATATTTATGATACGGCGGCGCTCCATGCCACAGCTGTCCCTCTTTATAACACACACACACGCACACAAGCACACACACGCACAGTTATTTATAAAGATATATTTGTGTATCTGCGAGACGTAGCAACAAAAGAAAGGTGCGTTGCCTTAACCCGCGACTTGACCCAGGCTTGGCTGGGCCAACTCCAGGCCACGCAGCCCCCCGTCCCCATTATAAATTATGCATTAAAAAGTTCAGCATTCAACTTGATTTTGATTGTGTTTTCTAGCTTCGTAATTGTGGCAGTCGCGCGTGCCGCAGTAAATCTGCAACGGGTTCAGCCTCCAGCCCCAGCTCCCTGTCTCTATCATTGGCAGACAGCTCTATCTCTCTCTCTCTCTCTCTGGCTGGCTACCTGTCGCCAAAGTTGGCCATTTTAAGCACATTATCCAGCAGAGTCGACGGAGCCAAATAGAATTTACTCTCAGCGCGATTTGCATTTATTTCGTTGCGCAGCAGCCGGCCCACTTGGCTGCCAGCAAATTGTGGCCTCTAATTCTATTGAAATTGCGATTTCGCGTTGCCCAAGAAATGTGCAGTGTTTGGGGCCACAACACATAATGCGTCTGCTTACTTGGCCAACTGATGGCCGAGGCCAGACAGAGAACGAGAGAGAGCGAGAGAGTGAGAGGGGGAGACCATTAGGCAACGGTATCTCAAGCACACTGAGGATGGGCTTTTTGCAACATCAACAACAACAACAACAAGAATATCAACAACAACAGCAACAGCTATAACAACAGCATCTGCATCCATCAGACCAAACAATTTCCGTCAAATTTCCATGCGCTGACAAAAGCTTTTCACTTGAGTGCCAGACAAAAGCCGAGAGCAGGGCTAAAGGCAGTGGCAGGCCGAGCAGGCTGGCTGAGAAATGTTTGCATTACGTAGCCAGAAATTAAATGGCCAACAAGTCGCAGCTTCAATGCGCTTTCCAAGCCAGCGCAATGTGAGGCCAGGCATAAGAATCTTAACTACTTATCAGAGAAATAACTATAAGAATTTCGAGTGCAAAAACTTTGACTATAAGAATATGAATAAATAAAGAATAATAATGAATAAGGCAATATTTGGTTCGCATTAAAGTAAGGAATGAAGAATTTATTAAATTAATCCTTTAATCATTATCTGCGATGAGCAATTGGAAAAGGTTCCAGGAGACAGTCATGTACATATATGAAAAGCGGAGCATCAATAAAATAACTTCGAGAGAAACAGAAAGGATTCAGACGTAACTTAAACCTTCATAACTCAAGCGCCTTGCCCCAAAGTTCCATAACTGAGACCCCAAGCGAACCTTTAAGGTAATAATTCAACTAAAACATAGAGCAAGCCTTCATCTGTCTCTATCAGCATTCTCTTTGGTTTTTAGGCTTTGCTACCTTCTCATGCGACATCCGAATGCGAGCCTTAAGCGAGTCAATGCCTTTCTCTTTCAAGGCTCTCTGCTTGGCCCCAGCCTAAGCCCTAACCCCGTTTAATTCCAAAGTTTCCCAAAAGCCGCTTTTCATGTAACTATTCTCCAAAAACTTGTATAGATTTGAATGCAGCTTAAGCAGCTGCTGTCGGTGCCCTTGCAGTGCAGGTCTGGCCAAGCGCTTGGCTTAGCTGAGATACTAGAGGCTCGTGTTAGGCCCGCTTAATGCGCAAAGCCAGTTAGGTGTCTGCCTGGGATCTGCGCCTGCCAGCCTCTTAACAGACATATTCAAAGTCATTACTTTGCATTTTACACCTGACAACAAGGTAGCGCAAAGGCTGAGCCGCCAACAAAGGGCCCAGCTAACCATGTCTTTTGGCATGGATCCAGAAATATTTACATAAATGTGTATATGTCTGTCTATGTATGTATATATTCGTGTAGGTGCGCTGGTCGAAATGCTGCGCCAACAACATGACTGTGGCAATTGTTATCTCAGCTGGCGGCTGGAGTTCGTGACAGCGTGGACAGCCACCGAATTGAGCCACTGCCGCCAGCCAGCACCCGCTAACGGTCATTAGCCACTTGCAGCTGCAACTGGCTCTGCCGCTGCCGCTGCCGCTGCTGTCATTCAAATGTCATTAGTCCATGGACTGGGTCAAGCGTAGCTCCAGCCCCAGTCCCGTCATGGCCGGCAGGAGAGGTGGCAGGAGGCTGCAGGAGACGGCAGTCTCGTAATTTCATTTCGCCAAACGAGCGCAAATTGACGCGCGTCGCATGTGAGCAGCGCCTTGCCTTGCCACGCCTTCCCCTGGCTTGGCTTGGCTTGGCTTGCCATCTGCATTTGATTAAATGCCTCCAGTTGGCGCCTCTTAGGCTCGCTTCATTCTCTCGCTTTAATTGCAACGAAATTAAAACGCTCTGCATACTTCTCTGCATCAGATTTATGATTGCAATTCGTTATTTATCACACAGCTGCCCCACGCTGCGTTGCCAATTTCAATTTTCAATTTTCAATTTTCAATTGCAGAAAGATTTATGCTTTTCGCTTGCTGCACTAAATTTCGCTTTTCATTTTCGTTTTCCGCTCCCCGTTCTTCGCCCCACCCATTTTCATTGTCGAGTATCAAAATTCTAACCGCCGGCTGCAATTTTCCACTGTTCATTTTGATTTTGGGTGGGATTTCGGGCCCCGCAAAAACTAGTCTAACAAATTTATTGTGTAAACTGTTGTCGACATCGGCATTCGACGCATTGCTAATGGGTTTTTGAATATGTTTATACAAGTGCGGCCGTCGCGTGGATCTCGGCCAAAGAGCTCTATAAATATTTATTGATATTTTATCTCGTTTTGCTGTTTGTTGCCTTTTGCCATGCCGCAAAAACTGCACAAATGGCAAAAAGTACAAAAATGGCAAACGCAATTAAATTCAATTAAATTGATTTGAATTGCGTTTTTTATTGCCAAATATCGCATGAGATTTAATCACATTGATGCTTGCTCTCCTCTCCCTCTTTCGCTCGCTCTCTCTCTCTCTCCCTCTCTTTGTTTTTTTGTCGTCTATTCATTTGGGAGAATATTGCTAACAAATTGTTAATTGAATTCATTTGGCTGGCATTATCAGCTATATGAATTATTTTTGCGGCCATTTGGCAGGTAAAGAGCCGACAGCATAAATAATACAAATGTTAATTGAGTTTTTTTTTCGCATGGCTTTTTGTGCACTTTGATTTTTGTGATTGGCTAATTTAGTGGCAGAAAAATATAGATAAAACAGTTTTATAATAGATACACATATATGTATGTGTGCGTATTTGTATTTAGGCAAATTTGTGTAACAGTCAGTTATGTGACAAATATGATCAAGCTATTGTGATTTGTGGATGTTGTCAAGGACGTTTCTCAATCTTCAGGATCTCGGTTGAGCAAGAAGCGATAAGAGAGTTAAATATGTTTATCACATCAATGTAAGTTTATTATAACTCCATTTGCCTACATATGATAGTCGAATATTATTTTTAATTCTGCCTAAAAACGCGTAAAATGAATCGAGTGTTCATTGTTATTCATATGCCATATTTATACTCATTCAGATTCATTTTTCACAGTCTATTGGTATGTAGAGGTATCCAAGTTAAGGTTCAGGCATCCCCTGCAAAAGTAGAACTGTTCGCTTCTGGCTTCAATTTAACAATGACAGCGAGCAAACAGAGTGCGAGCGAGCAGAGCGAGAGCAATCGTAGGTTAGAGAAAGCAGAGAGAGAGTGAGAGCGAGAGAGAGTAGAGTAAGAATGAAATTCACGCTCTTACAAATGCAGCTGTATACGCTGCTGCTCTATATAATACATTCAATTTGGGAGGTATATAACATCTCTTATCAATCACCCTACCTCTAAGAGAGCCATTTTATATTTCTTAATATTGCTGCATTAATATTTTAATTTTATTTTTATATTAATATTCATATTTTTATAGAATTATAATATTATATTTATATATTGTTATATTATTCTATTAATATAATATCCTATATACTTATTCAGTTTTTATATTGACATGTTCGTTGTTGAATCAATGTCAAAACGTAAAAGTTCTCTTTAAAACGTAAAAGCTTTTATCGCAAGACTCGCTCGCTCAAGATCACACACACAGTCACACGCACACACGCATAATAGGGGCTTCTGTAGTCACAACAATAAAGTTGCCTTTGCATTTGAAGCTTTTGTGTTTGCGATCCAGCGACGGAAGATAAAGTTTTGTTGTTGAGTAAAAGCTCGTCGCTCACGCTAGCTTTAGCTTTTTAGAAAGTGTGTGATAATTGACAGCTGTTATAAACCCGCATCAATACGATCAACGATGACAATCTCTCTCTCTCTCTCTCTCGCTACTCTCACACTCTCAGCTCTTCAGGTGTTTTTCAGCTATTGATTAACTCTGCTAATGAGCCTGATTAAAGGTCAGTTCGCGCTCTTTGCTCACATTTCCGCAGAATTTAATGTGAGCGGCAAAACAAATTATGTTTTAGTTTTAGTTTTGCTGGCGAGCTGTTCGCGTTCATTGCTCTGCGCCAGACTACTACAAAAAGAAAAAACTTTTGCGCAAAACAAAATAACATTCGGCTATATTAAAACATATATGTAAAGCAAATAGAAAACATTTAGTATATGCTTTAGCGTATGCCCAGATTATATCACACTCAACGACGCGTGGGGCCAGCAATATGACAGCAGTTCCAGCGGACGCCAAGCTAATTGGACACAATGAGCAACAGCAACAGCAACAACAACCACAAGAACAGGTAATTAATTAAGCAACAACTGATTGAGTGGGGATCATAAATGGCATTGCAGTGCGGCTTATCTCAGCCAGATACAAATCCCGCTGTCTATGGCCGCAAGAGAGTCGAGAGTACCTTTGAACCGGTTCGATTGCAATTTGAACCCTCTCAGCTTATCGCCGGCGGCCACTATGTAATGTCTGCCTGATAAGAATTTGAAGCCGCACGAATCAGAAATCAATAGGAAATTAGACAGTTGCGGTAGCTGAGCGAAATTCTGAAGTTGAAATTCCGATTCCGATTCCAATTCCGATTGCGAGAGATAAGTGGAGTTGAGAGTTGCTCGGTTGCCCTTCGCTGTTATTAAGCTCATTAGAAGTTCATCAAAATGTTGGCAGGAGTGGCAGGAGCTGGCAGCGGGTCGAAGGGCGGTGCTACTTTTTGGTATAAAAACTTTTGCAGACACTGTGTCACACTTGAAAGCATTTTGCGCTAATTTTCAAGTTGAACGAGCCAAACTCTTCGGCAAAAGCAAAAGCAACAGCAACAACAACAACAATAACAAAGACAATTGAAAAGTGTCGTGAAAAGTTTTTCCTGTGGCGCAAAACTACGAAAATCCATTTGTCGACATTTAAAGTTTGCATGCGCTACAAGTCAATTGCAGACGGGGCAGATAGAGGGGATAGCTAGCTCAGCCTTCCCCTTCTCCCTCTCCCTCTCTCCATCCCTGGCTATCAGCAAAAAAAGAAGCTAGATGATAAATTGTCGGCTTGCTGCGCACTGACTGCTGGCCATCAATCTGCAGCGGTGCGCGGCTCAGTTTCTCGTGTGAACCAGACGATTGATCAAACCAATATGAGCACAATGCGCTTGAGACCGGCTAGCAAATACCCTTACACATTGTTATCATAATGATAATGTCAAAGTTCATGTATTTGTCTTGAGTGATTTGTAAGTTTTACACTCCTGATTAGATTAGGTCTAGATTAAAGTCGAACAATGGTTTAGTCAGAGCGTAACCGTTATCAATTTCTGTTTAGTTTTTCCCTCAATATTTGGTATTCCTAGCCAAACTGCCATCCTTTTGTCTCGCTGCCGCTGCGAACCCTTTTCGACTGTTTGAGCACCCTCGGGTTATTCCGTACACTATCAAGTTTTGGCATGTCAATTAGCTGTGTCTGTGTGTGTGTGTGTGTTTGTGTGCGTGTGTCTCACCTACCTCTGCTACCTTTGCAGCCGATGGACGTGCGCATCAATATGCCCTGGGGCTATGTGGTAGGCCGCTGGTATGGCAATCGACAGGTACGCCCGATACTGGCCCTGCACGGCTGGCTGGACAATTTGGGCACTTGGAATACGCTGCTGCCGCTGCTGCCCAAACACCTGGGCGTCCTCTGCATTGATCTGCCTGGCCATGGGTATTCGTCGAAGCTGCCGGAGGGGATTGCCTATCATTTTGTGGACTACCTGTGCGTGATACTGCGCATCATGGAGGAATATGGCTGGCAGAAGGTCTCGCTGATGGCCCACTCCATGAGCGCCATGCTGTGCTTCATCTTCGCCTCGCTCTACCCGCACCGCCTGGACATGCTGATCAGCATTGACATTGTGAAGACGCGCTACCGCAAGCCGCCCTCGCAAATCGATTACCTGCGCACCAACATCGAGCGCTACATGATCGAGGACGAGCGGTTCGCGAACGCCAAGCGCCAGGAGCCGCCCGCGTACACTTGGCAGGAGCTGGAGCACGTGCTGCACAAGGGCTCAGCGGGCTCGGTGCCCCTGGAGAACTGCCATCACATCCTCGACCGCAATGTGGCCAAGTCGACCAAGTATCCGGACAAATACTTCTTCTCCCGCGACGGCCGCTGCAAGTACTACTTCGAGTTCCACACCAGCCCCCCCTTCGCCGCGGAGCTGGCGCGCACCATACGCAACGTGCCCTATTGTGTGATCAAGGGCTCCGAGTCGAACTTCATTGACGACGAGAGCCAGGAGGTTATTGACATACTGCGCTCCAATAATCCACACTTTGAGCTGCACGAGGTGCAGGGCACCCACCACGTGCACCTGAACAATGCGCAGGGCGTGGCCGAGGTAATCAATCCGTTCATAATGCACCACAGACCGCCCCACCTGGAGACCTGGACGGTGGATGAGAAAGAGGAGCTGCCCGAGGTGGTGCAGCAGTTCGCCCTGGCCGTCGACGAGGCGGAGAACGTGAAGCGCCGCAAGAGAAAAAGCAACCTCTAGCTGTTGCACCCATCTCTGAGGCGAGGCGACAGTGCGAGCCGGAATCTATCTAGAAATTTAAATCAATCAAAGCGTAGTTAAGCCCAAACAGAAACAGAAAACAGAAAATCATAATTTAAGCGTCGACAAATGAATGTGAGTTAATATATATTGATTACCGCAATAAATAATGAATTTGTCTTGCCCTCCGTTGCAGTTGGCCAAATCCAGACACAATTTTATCTTAATTACTTTCGCGAAACCTGAACTTTTAAAAGCTTATCTAACGTCTGCCTGTGCTTGGGATTTCCACAGAAATTGATATATACAAATACAGCTACACATATGTATATACGGTATAGTATATTACAGAACATGCACCTTTTTTTTTCTGTTTCGCCCCCATTCGATCAATCAAGCTGGGGCTGGCATTTAATTTCGCTTTAATCTTTGGGTCGCAGTTCATTGGCCACTTCATTAGTGATAAGGGAGCAAAGGATGTGCGGCATCCACTTAAAAACAATGGCGTTGCAGAAAAACAAAAGGGGCCACCAGAGACAATGTGTGTGTGTGTGTCCCTCTCTCTCTCCCTCCCCCACTCTCTCTCTGTCGCTGTAAACATTTTGAATGTGTGCCTCGAGCCACACTAAATAGCAAAGGCAGTCGGAGCGTATCGATATTGAATGCGAACCACACCCACTCGCGTAGGTCGGCGAGGCTCGGCTTCGGGCTTCAAAAAATAAACAAATTTAACGTTTTTATTGCCATAGCACGTTGCGGCCGGGTTTTCTACGTAAATTAAATTAGGTAGGAGCCGGAAAAATTGCGGCAACAACACTCGCATTGGCTGTAGATAGATAGACAACGTTGCTGCTCCGACTGCCCCGACTGCCAGCGGCTGCAATGCGATTACGTTTTTCCGACGTAACGAAATTGATAGCAGATATAAATGTTTAATGTTTCGGCAATAAAATTGTGGCAAAAGGCTGGTGAATCACTGCGATGTGGGCGGGGCAGGGTGCCGGGCCACTCTGTCAGTTCTGTGGGCAGCAGCCCAAGTTCTGGCCGCCGGACTGATAAAACATCTTTATGATAAATTCGCTTGTGGTTAACGCGCAATTTCATTTGTTAAAAATCAATAAAAACGAAAATCATTTAGGCGAGCCGGCGAGCACTGGCCGAGCTCAACTACTTTTGGGTCGCAGCTAACCTGCACTTAAACTCTTATCATAATATTTACATTAAAATTCAGCGGGCACTTTTAGTAAATTGCATTGCATGAATTAGTCTATTGAGCGGGGTCAAATGATGCTTGAGAAATGGAGGACTTGAAGTGCCTCAGCTATGAACGTTTATGCGGGTTTTCAGCTTCATTGCATACATTAAAGACGATGGACAATATTAATGGAAGAGCAAGTTTATAGAATATATAAATTATATGTAAATAATAATAATAACATTATAATAATAAAGGTTAGATATATATTTAAATATATTTTATATATTTTTATGGTAAATATAAATATATATTTTTGTGGAATTGTATGAATAAATATTTTGTACATATATATATTCATAGCAGTATTTTGAAATATATAATTATATAAATTTTCAAATTTAGTCAAAGTAAAACAGTTTTAAGTAAAGTAAATAATAAACTCTGTAGCTCACTTAGCTTGAAAGACCTTCATATGGAACCCATTTTAGTTCTTACTTATCTCAGTTAAAAGTTAAATCCAATTCCAATTCCAACTTAAAAAAGCTGGGACAGTTTTATATTAGGAAAAAATAAATAAATAAAATTAAAAAAAAAATTATTTTTACTCTATTTTTAGCACATATTTTCGAAGACATTCAGATTTTTAAATTTATTTAACACATATAATTATTAAATGGCTGACCCCAACAGCTTTACCTTTGAACCTAGCAGACCTTGAAGCATTGACCTTTAAGTAAATATATATTTATATAGTAGTGTTAGTTTTAATTATATTCGCTAGTTAATAAAAGTTTTAAAACTTTTCTCTCTTCGATTTTTATTGCTACAACAAAATTGTATTTGCTCGATTTTTATTGCTAAGCAAAAACACATTTGTATATAATTTGTTATACGCGCATCTGCACTTGGGTAAACAATATATTGATAATACCTTAACGCTAGGAACCTCAAAACTTATTCGCTTTGTCACTGGCAGCGGCGGAGTTAATTGGAAACTGTTGAAAGACGCGCGTCTTATCCAGCTGCACGGCCTGCAGCTCGTGCGGCTGCTTGTCGTGGGCGAGAAAGTGGTTGGTGTGCCAGAACTGGGTCTGGGCAGCGGGCAGATGGAGGCGTCGCACGCCCAACAGGCGATTGCGAACATCGACGAGGCTGGCGGAGCGAGGCTGCAGCCAGAGCGTCAGCACGATGGCCAGCAAGGTGAGCAGCAGGTAGGTGAGGCTGCTGGCCAATAGCGCTGTCCACACATTGTCCACGCCCACCTCGTACTTGGTGGCCTCCATGACGGCCAGCTGCAGCACAAAGCCGACGGCGAGCGAGAGCTCGGCGTAGAGGAATGGCGAGCACTCCAGCAGCCAGTGCAGAGCCTGCGTGGACAGCATGCCGGCGCTGGCGTAGATGAGGCAGAGGAACAAATAGCAATGCTCCGATTGATCCTCATTGTAGATGCAGAGCAGGGCAGCCACCAGTGTGAGTTGAATGACGCCCATCAGCAAATACAGCAGCTTTGGGGTGTAGCGCAGCAGGAGTAGGGCGCTCAGGGCACAGCCGGCGGCGTATAGAGCGAAGGGCGTGAAGAGCTGGTAGTCTTGCATAAATCCCCGGGTGGAGGTCCACATCAGCTGCAGGTGGACGGGCGAGTGCAGCAGGCAGCCGCTCTGCAGCACCAACACAAGGCCGCCCAGCAGCAGGACAAGCCATTGGCGACTCTGCTGCAGCCGATAGTCCTGGCGGTCCACGAACTGCGCCAGCACGGCCTGGCGTGGCAGAAAGGCCAGCCGCTCCTCGTTGAGCAGATTGAAGACCAAGTCACGTGACTGCTTGTAGTTGTGCACGCCCAGATGCTGCAGCAGCTCGTTGACGAGCACGAGCAGCAGCAGCAGCAGGTTGACGCCCAGCGCGACGAGGCCGCAGCGCTGCGGCTCGAACTCGTTGAACAGGACAAAGCCGGCGGCCAGGCCGCAGGCATGCGAAGCATTGGCCATGGCAATCCTTGCCGGCCGCAGGCCCGAGGCATCGCTGCGCAGGCTCACATAGCTGAAGCCGGCCAAATAGACCACGCTCAGGCCAATAAAGCTGAAGTAGTAGCTAACCGCTGGGCAGAGGAGAGAATGTGGATAGTTAATTTCAATGTGAAACAAAGTAAACGGCCGCGCTTACCCAACTGCTTGCTGAGCAGGAAGCAGCTGCCCAGGAGCGAGCAGAGCAGCCCGTAGAAGATGATGTAGTAGTGATCAAAGCTATAGCGTTGCTTGATATGCTTGCGCACGGTCCAGCCGATAGCCAGGACCAGCACCACGATGCCAGCCATCAGGGCGTACCAGTGTGGCCACAGATTGTCGTAGACGAAGGCCGACTTCAGATAGTAGCCTAGCGAGAGGCCGCTGCCCCAGAGGCAGCACAGAACTGTGGAGCAAACACACAACGCAACAAGTCAAAACAAGCAAAGCAAAGCTCGCTCCAAGGTCAGTTCGACTTACCTAGCACATCGGGCAGCTGGAACATGCTGCGCACTGCCTGCCACAGGGAGTCAAAGGCCAACGAGCGGAGCTGCATCGATGGGCAGGGACATCTGAGCGTGTTGAGAGCGTTTCCACAAATGATATCGAATGCATTCGCCGAGGCGGGCAGAAACACTATCGGCGGCTGCTGGCAGATAGATAGCGCGATCTTGTCATTGTCGAGCAGGCTGATAAGATAAATGCCGCCGAACATGAGACGCTCTAATTAAACGACTCTCGAATCAATAAGGTCTAGCTCCACTGATGACTGTGAATCAGCAGCCAAGCAGCTAGCTGGCATTCTTTCCTCAGCTCAGTTGCAACATAAACAAAGCAACAATTGTGGCTAGAGATTTTATGAATGAGAAAGATTTAAAGAATGAGAGATTTAAATACCTAAAAAAATAAATTAATAAAAATTAAATTAAAAAAAAAAAATAATAATAATAAATAGTAATTAATAATAAATCGATAGTAATTAAATTAATTTTATAAAATAAATTAACCAAAAAATATAAATCATTAAATAATTTTGTTGTTAATATTGGTTAATTTTGATGAGCAATGATTGTTCTTTTTTTATTGTTGTTATTATCATTTCCTTTTTTAATTTAGTTCATTTCTTCATTCATCTCCTTTTTGTTTGTATTAAAAAAAATATCTATTTTTTTTATCTTAATTAATTTTATTTTTAATCTTAGCTCAATGATTTTTATTATTATTCTTTTAAACTTTAGCTGATATACTTTTATGTATATCACTTAATAAATATATTATTTATATTACCTAATTTTATTTACTGGTGAATATATACTCACTTTAATATACTCCACTTATATTATCTGTGTACATTTATAGCTTTTCATAAATTTCAAGCTCTGCCGAAAATCTCTAAAAAGAAATTACTTCCCATATTGCATATAAAAATATTGATATAAATTTTCATGCTTCTGCCTCTTCCATTCATTTGCATAAAAACAATTTACCGCATTTTGGCTATTTTCAATGTGTTAAGGATATAAAAGTTATCTCTTAATTTATAGCCATAAAATATTTATGGCCAACTGTCGATAAACTTTGAGTGAAATCAATTGAGGGCTTCGGCTCTATTCATGAAATGAATTGATTTCACTTTAAATATTGATAGAAATCTTCAGAGCAATTTCTTGCAGTCGCCAATGTATTGCATTGTGTCAGCATTTGGTTGAGGATTGCGAACGATGAAATAAATCAAATTCAATCGGAAAAGCAATTTGTACGACACTTAAAGCAAATATTTGGCTTTGGCCGGTGCAGGGCAAGGTATGCTGGCTTGCATATTTCATGGCTAATGAATTGGATCTAAGATATGCAATCAATTGAAGTAAACGACTCCAAGTACACAAATCA